TGATACGGAATTTTAAAAAACGTATACAAAACTTATTTATAATAATGAAAAAACGTATGCAAATTTTTTATAGGGTTGTATAATCTGGTAATAATAGAATCCACAAACTTTCTTTAAAAGTATTATATTGTAAATGCATATAAATGACATTTGTATTTTTTTGTATAAATGTTTTCAAGATTTTGATAAAAATTTCTTGAAATAATAAATTTAAATAACTCTTTATAAATAGGTAATACTTCTAATTGTGAAAAAAAGTTAATAATAAACCAACTTTTATTTATTCTTTAGTAACTTTTATAGTTTGAAGGATTTTTTTTAAATGAGAATATTATACCAATTATAGCTAGTGTTTTAAGTCAGTTACATGATCAGAAACTGGTTTTAAACTGATTAACTTTTTGCAATCCAGTTGTAGATCATTTTCTTTGGTAAACTAGATTGTAATAATCCAGTTTTATACAAAAACTGATTTATCGAAGAAAATCAGTCTCTATAATGTTCTTTATAAAAATAAAAATTATGTGGATTTTAATTAAACACTGATATCACAGAAATTGCAAATCGGAACTTATTTTTTAAAAAAAAAATTTTTATTTTTTAGAACGCAAAAGATTAATATTGCTACAAATGGATTGCTAATTTAAATCCAAATTAAGTTAAACTTTAAACATTTAAAATACCATCAATTAGTATTTTAAATTTTCTGCACATTCCCAATGTAGTAGATTTTATAATTAGAGAAAAGCCAGTCTTTACTGCTTCTGAGAAAATATGAATGGAGAATTTTATGTTGAAAATAATAAAGAAGGTATTGAAGGTAAGCCTAATTGTTTAAATTGTTAATTAATGTTTTTTTATTTTTTATTTTAAAAAAATCACAGATACTTACTGGAATCTGTCTAGATCTAGGGGAAGTTTAAAATTTTTTCAATAAATTGCTAAAAATTTCATAGGAGTGACTCAGAAAATTATAACAGTAGAAGGAGATCAGGTTGAGAAAGCTGGCATGGAATGGCCATGTACACCAGAGGATAAGGTTATATTTTTTCATCATATTTTTTAATATATAGTCTGCCTTTTTACATTTCAGTATACAGTTTAGAATGTTACTTTCAATGATGATTCCTTCTTAGATTCAGATATACAGAAGATAAAAATAATTCAGAAGATATTGGTTAAATTTTTTTTGCTTTAGGAATCCAGATTCAAGGAATCTAAATCTGAGGAATTGGGTGTGATATATAATGCTGTTGCTGAAACTCAGAACTACATTATGAATAAGAAAGAGAAATAGACGTCAATCATATCATTTATTATTCCTAAAACCTTATTATAGGTATGCTCTAATAAAAAAATTTGTTAATTTTTTTTTAAATTTTAAAAAATCTAACATTAATTTATCTTTATAGAATGATTTGAATCCTTGAATTTTGAATCAGAAGTAAGTCTAATTGAAGAAATTTGTCATTAATTTTAAAAATAAAATAAAATTTTAATTTACTTTTGTAGGTTCAATCCAGAATCTATAAATAATGGAATCTT